CCTTTGCCAATTCAGAGGAGAAGATTTTTTTATGTTTTACTATGTACATATAAGTAAAAACCTATGACCCCCCAGGGCGGGGCCAAGTTTGATACTAGGGACAAAATTTGATCAACTTTGGTATTGGACCTTCAGATAATACAATATACCAAATATCAAAGCTCTAGGCCATTTACTTTCAGACCAGAAAATTTTTCAAGTTTTCACTATATGTATATAATGAAAATCAATGACCCCCGAGGCGGGGCCAATTTTGACCCGAGGGCCATTATTTGAACAATCTTGGTAGAGGTCTACCACACAATGTTTCATGCCAAATATCTTACCTGTAGCCTTTGCCATTTCAGAGAAGAAGATTTTTTTATGTTTTACTATATACATATTAGAAAAACCTATGACCCCCCGGGTTGGGGCCAATTTTGACACTAGGGACAAAATTTGTACAACTTTGGTATTGGACCTTCAGATGATACCATAGACCAAATATCAAAGCTCTAGGCCATTTACTTTCAGACCAGAAGATTTTTCAAGTTTTCACTATATGTAATGACCCCCGGGGCGGGGCCAATTTTGACCCTAGGGCCATTATTTGAACAATCTTGATAGAGGTCTACTACACAATGTTACATGCCAAATATCTAATCTGTAGCCTTTGCCAAATCAGAGAAGAAGATTTTTTTAGATTTTACTATATACATATAAGGAAAAACCCCCGGGGCGGGGCCAATTTTGACACTAGGGACAAAATTTGAACAACTTTGGTAGAGCACCCATAGATGATACCATATACCAAAAATCAAAGCTCTGGCCCATGTACTTTCAGACAAGAAGATTTTTTAATTTTGTGTTTTTTGAAATCCTTTTCTGGCCCTATGACCTACATATGCAACAGACCGGAAACATTTGAACAACTTTGAAAGGGGACCACCCAAGGTTCATTTCTGTAAAGTTTGGTTGATGTGCAGTCATGGATTTCAGAGGAGATGTTGTTAATGTTCAAAAGTTGACGACGCACGACGACGGATGACGGACACAGGGCCATCACAATAGCTCACCCTGAGCATTGCTCAGGTGAGCTAAAGCAACAACAAAAAATAGATAAAATAAAATTGAATATGACAAACATTAAATATCAGCTTCGAAAATAACAACAAGTTGACCATTCCACGTTACTTGTGACATCAGCAATGATGGAGTTGACCCAGCAAACAAAAGACGTTGTACCAACGTTGTACTGACGTTAGACCCTGACGTTGGGTAAACGTTGGCAGAAGGTTAGATTTGAGTTTTTTAGACGTCGGAAACCGACGTCTATACAACGTCATAAAATGACCTTTTAGTATAGTATAGTATAGTATAGGTATAGGTATAGGTATAGGTATAGGTATAGGTATAGTAATAGTAATAGTAATAGTAGTAATATATAGATATAGATATGATATGAGATATGATATGACATGATATAGATATGATATGATATGATATGATGGATATTGATATGAATATAGAGAATAATAGGTTGGTGACGTGGATGGAGAAAGTTTATCTGGCGAGGCGGAGGAATTTATTGGGTGAGCCGAAGGCGAACCCAATAAATTCCGGAGCAGAGCCAGATAAACTTTCTCCATCCACGGCACCAATCTATTATTCTATTTATCCTCTCACCGTTTTTCAAAAAAGAATTTTATTAGGCAAACTACATTTAATCACACTATCGGAAATGTTTCTATATAAACAAAGAAGGCCCGAAGCGTGCATTATTCTACAACAATGCACTCGCCGTTCTTATTATCTCCCTGTGTATTTTCACATTGAGGGCGCCATTTTGTTTGAAAAATGTGATAAATAAAAACAATTTTTTGTCGAATTTTGTTGTGAAATAGATAAATAAAGAATCCCTAAAGAAAGCCCAACACGGCAAAATTGAAAATGTTGCAGGCTCGGTTTGATTGAGCCTGTTCATGGACGGTACTGGAAAGTGCAAATTACCGTCCACGCCCCCTAGCACCGGCTTAAGCAGAATTCAACATTTAAACATGAAATGGTAGAATTTTGAATCTAGAAACATCCGCAGATGTGTTCATACGGCGGTTATCATGGAACCTTCAATGTGACACTTCCGTGCCATTCCATGAAAAGCGGCGTATGGTCCCCAAGTAATAAAAAGCGTGTGCCCTAAACGAGAAAACAATGGGCGGAACGAAATAAAATAGAATTATGAAAGGGGATCAGAGGTTATGAAGCCTGCGTATCACAGATAAGAAGTCAAAAGACAAATTTAAAAAGCAGGCAACATATCCTAAGGGTGATTCAACATTATTCAAGTAGGAATATTGGAACCACCCAACTAGAAAATGCCGAAAAGTTGAAACTAAAAGTACCACAAGCACAACAATAATGTCGTGCTGAACGATCTTCAAGGATCGAAAATATAACATCATTGATTAAATGTACGGGGAGACTTTTTACAGCCGCCACACGGCACAAATAACACGGATGTGATCATAAAATAGATAAATAAAGAATCCCTAAAGAAAGCCCAACACGGCAAAATTGAAAATGTTGCAGGCTCGGTTTGATTGAGCCTGTTCATGGACGGTACTGGAAAGTGCAAATTACCGTCCACGCCCCCTAGCACCGGCTTAAGCAGAATTCAACATTTAAACATGAAATGGTAGAATTTTGAATCTAGAAACATCCGCAGATGTGTTCATACGGCGGTTATCATGGAACCTTCAATGTGACACTTCCGTGCCATTCCATGAAAAGCGGCGTATGGTCCCCAAGTAATAAAAAGCGTGTGCCCTAAACGAGAAAACAATGGGCGGAACTAAATAAAATAGAATTTTGAAAGGGGATCAGAGGTTATGAAGCCTGCGTATCACAGATAAGAAGTCAAAAGACAAATTTAAAAAGCAGGCAACATATCCTAAGGGTGATTCAACATTATTCAAGTAGGAATATTGGAACCACCCAACTAGAAAATGCCGAAAAGTTGAAACTAAAAGTACCACAAGCACAACAATAATGTCGTGCTGAACGATCTTCAAGGATCGAAAATATAACATCATTGATTAAATGTACGGGGAGACTTTTTACAGCCGCCACACGGCACAAATAACACGGATGTGATCATGAAATTGATAAATACAGAATCCCTAAAGAAAGCCCAACACGGCAAAATTGAAAATGTTGCAGGCTCGGTTTGATTGAGCCTGTTCATGGACGGTACTGGAAAGTGCAAGTTACCGTCCACGCCCCCTAGCACCGGCTTAAGCAGAATTCAACATTTAAACATGAATGGTAGAATTTTGAATCTAGAAACATCCGCAGATGTGTTCATACGGCGGTTATCATGGAACCTTCAATGTGACACTTCCGTGCCATTCCATGAAAAGCGGCGTATGGTCCCCAAGTAATAATAAAAGCGTGTGCCCTAAACGAGAAAACAATGGGCGGAACGAAATAAAATAGAATTATGAAAGGGGATCAGAGGTTATGAAGCCTGCGTATCACAGATAAGAAGTCAAAAGACAAAAACTATCTAGAATGAAAGAAAATGGTCTAACTAAGAAAATGAATTCGAACACCAATATCTTTTATTCAGTCGTTAACGCTGTACAGACGTTTAAAGTATTGTTTACGTGACGTCACAACGTAGCGCCAAACAGCACGTGCAAAACAATCAAATCAAGTACGCTATTTTAATGTCGCAAACGAGTTAAGTTTTACATTTATTTCATGCTTTCCAGTGTTTTATTGTAATATATCAGATGATTATATTCTGATAAACCACTAGTGAAATTTATAAAATATAATTTTCACTGTAGCCGGACTATATCTGAATGCGGATGAACAGAAAATCATAACTAAATGGAATAACAGGCAGAAATAAATGCCGTCATACGTAAATTTTGCTTCTTTAGGAAAAGAAAGTCAATGTCATCATACATCATGTTAGAAATTTAACAAAATTAGAGAAATTTAACGGAACTAGATTTCAAAACTGATGATGTGACGTCATGATATAATGACGTCACAAAGGAGATGCGAGACGTTACGCGGCAAAATCAGTAAAAAATAGCTTAAAATCACTTAAAAAGCATAAAATAAAAAGAAAATTTATTTGTTTTACATATAACATTGAAATATGTTTCATTCGTGAACACCAGCTATTATATTTTCACTTGTGGCTACGCCACTCGTGAAAATATTGCATCTGGTGTTCACTCAGTGAAATTATATTTCAATCTTACATGCAAAACAAACAAATATCCTCTATTTATTTCACTTTTAATAATTTTTATTTCGCTTGAAAAATTATAGAGTGAAATAAAATAAACAAACAAAGTTTTATCAACGTTTCCAAAATTCGTTATTTTACACACAGAAGATTTAACGACAGTTTTTATATTTTTTCTTGAAAAGTAGTCCGGCAAACATGCATACCACGTGATCAAGTGCCGTAGATCAGTAAAAATATACGGCACCTCCCAGCAAACAAAAGACGTTGTACCAACGTTGTACTGACGTTAGACCCTGACGTTGGATAGACGTTGGCAGAAGGTTGGATTTGAAAGTTTTTTAGACGTCAGAATCCGACGTCTATACAACGTCATAAAATGACCCTTATCCAATCTTATCTGACCATAATCCAACCTTTTCTGACCATAATCCAACCTTTTCTGACCATTATCTGACCATAATCCAACCTTTTCTGACCATTATCTGACCATAATCCAACCTTTTCTGACCATGATTTAACCTCATTTCAAACTTTTTGGAATATGATTTTTTCATTTTAAGCTCATTAGTAGGGTAAACAAATAAGCATTCTTATAATTTTAACAATTTATTTGCAATACAGGAGAGAGTTTCATATAAGCTCCAAGCTTTCTACTCAATCCTGAATGAAATTTATATATTGTAATATTGTCTGTAAATAATGATGAAGAAATAAATACATTGTATTGTTTAAACCAATTTATTTGCAATACGAATCACATGTACAAAACAATAAATGTGATACTATAACAAATGTAACATTAACATAATGTATTTTGAACTATTAAACTTGACAGTATGTACGTAAATAACGCTTCATGTACTAAATAATCATGTTTTAGATATACAAAATTCTTCATAAACATTAACACTGACATTTTTTATGGTTAACATTCATGCATGTTTTTCTTATATCACCAAGGCTTATTTCCGACTGCACCGATTACCCTGAGGTTGGGATTTTCCAATCATCTAATCTATCCAACTCACTGATTGTATATTTTTTTTGTACTTTTTGTTCTGAATTTTAAATGGAACAATATTGTAATAATTTGATATTACTACAAATCAATGTTCACATATCTTAATTAGCATTCTTCTTTCGTCCACCTCCACTATGGCGATCTGGGGCATACTTTAAAGTTTAAGCATTTCATAATCTGAACCTTTACCGTCTCCAACCTGAGATATCATCATTCACACTATCTGAAATTTAAAAATAAATCAAATAATCACTTACAATTGCAAGAAATAAATCACTTTTACATATTACAAATAAATGAAATTCTGACAAAACTCTCCAACTACTTTAACAAAAGAGGCTTATTTTTTATTTACTTTAGTTTTAACCATGTAGTTTCATGTACCTATATATCCATTGATTTTGATAAAAATGGCTTCGTGATCAATGTAATATTTTTAATATACCTGTCACAAAATCTTGTGTTTTTTCTCCTTCTTTTCCTCTTAATAATTTCATCTTCCTCCTCTGAACTTTCGACAGTTGTTGAATTATCATAATTTTTACAATCTCTGATATTCACTGAAAGACAAAACAATATTACGATTCTCAAAGCACGTTTACGAAAAAAAACCTGGTAAAATCTTCAATTAATTACTTTTCAATTGTCATTAAGTATGACCTGAAAATTTAGTAAGAAATTACGATTTTTGCCTGCGCAAAATTTAATATGAAACTGATATTTTTTACGAAAAAAAAACCTGATAAAATCTTCAAATAATTACATTTAATTTTCATTAAGTATGACCTGAAAATTTAGTAAGAAATTACGATTTTTGCCTGCGCAATGTTTAATATGAAACTGATATTTTTTATATTTATTATAATTTATATAAATGCTACAACATCAAAGAAATTCACATGTTACTGTCATTTTTATAGATATAATATCTCTGCCCAGCATGATCCGATCTGCTAAGAGTATAAAGGACAGACTGGCTGAGGGTACAAACGTTTTATGATATGAGCATATAACTTGTTTCACTACATTTGATAAGCAGGCTAATTAACAAACTATTATTTTTATTGATTTATAACCTTGATAATGTGTTTACTGACTGATAATATGTTGTCTTATTACATTAATGAAAAGATAAGTAGTCAAACACAATGTGATTTCAGATATATCTTACCAAAGTTGTATCATTTGTATCATTTACATGGATAAAATGCCATGAATCATAATCATAATATAAGAAACACTAAGTATGCTCATGGGTAAAATACTTCAATTTAACAACCTGTAGTTACACAACTACACAGATGTGCGTGAGACCCTACAGTTATCTGATACATGTGTAAATGACTGGCCCCTCATAAAAAAATTCATGTTGATAAGAAATAAGAGGAAATTTTATATGTCAGCATTTGAATAATAGAGTCTAATTAACGTACTGCATTTAACCTTTATTGATTTTCAATTGCTAGTATATTTTACCATTACCATTATGCAAAAAAAAAAATAATTTGGCAATGGCGATATAGTGTGGGAAAAATGATCCGAAAACACAAATTGTTCTAAAGCAAATAATAAAGTGCTCTAACGAGGAAACGAACATATTTATCTCGCGAAATCATGTGAATTTAAGTTTTACCAGTCAAACTTTACAATGATCAATTAACCGTCGAATCCATGCAAACATGCGGTAAGTAAACATTAAAAACAATATATAAAGTTTGACTACTGTACCTTTTTCTATTTGTTTGGAATATACAACTTTGTCTGTCAACCCGTTGTTTTTGTCCGCCAATACAATTGAATTTCAAATCCGATAAGACGAATTTACTAGATTATTTACCACTATTAAATGAAGCCCACAAAAATGATTACAACTTCATTGTTAATTATTTAACAATCTTCTTTTACTGATTCGAGGAGATAAGTTATTATTAAAAAGAAAATAGAGCAAATATATATTAAGCTTGTTATCGGGCCGAAATTGATACAAGTGACAGGATAAAACAATATAAATATTAAATATAAATATAATATAATATAAATCTTCCATGAATGTCAAACACCTCGCGGAGGCGTTAACATCTAACAAAATACATAATAAACATTACACATAATAAAAGTGTAAGTCAAGATATTTTCATAAAAAATGTTATCCCTGGGATTAATATATCATCATTTCAAATTTAGTTTGCAGTTAGTACTACAGTATTACGCTGAGAACAAGGAGATTTTTTAAGAAGTGAAACTCGAGGTTTACCTTATTTTCCGCCCCGTTTTTCGTGATCTTGTTTGAACTATCTACTCCATTATTGGTTGATACAGCCATTGACTGTCGTTGTTTTTCCTCTTTTTCTTCCAAAGCTGCCAGTTGTTCCGTTTCCTTCTTTTGTGCATTCGTTAACTTTACTTCTTCCTCTTCTAACTCTTCGTCGCTCGAATCCGAAAAATCATCGCGATATTTTGCCTCTGCAGTTCTAGGTATACTCTGTTCCCGTGCATATTTAAATTGGACCTCTCTAAATGTTCTGTCAGGTACAGAACGACTTCGGGTCTGTCCTGGTCCCTTGTAAGTAAATACTCGACTTCTTTTATTTGCCAGCATAATCTGTTGTTCCATAAGTTTCTTTGTATCTGCCCTCACTGGGGGTAAAGATCCCGTACCATCTGAGGGCTCAACTGTTACGATTCTCACCTTATGTGAGGACATTTCAGCTAATGGCAAATTACAGCGCCCATCATGGATATCTTTCAGCCCTCATTCTGGTATTGCTAGGAGACGTTGTCAAATGACGTCGTTAAGTGACGTCATCTTACTGTTGCAAAACATTCGTGACATCTTTGACGTTACGATTAACATATAATAATGAATAGATGGTTTTCAAGATTTTTTCTATAAATACAGGATATACTTTCATTGAGTGGTATGAAAATAAATATTTCATGAGTGGCAGTAACCATGAGTGAATTATGATGGTTGTCATACCACAAGATGAAAATAAATCCTCTATTTATAGAAAAAAACTTGAATTTTCTGTTTATTATATATTTTTTTAGCCTTATGAAATAGGAAGAATTTCTTTTTAATTTTGTGTATTGGCTGAATTTAGAAGAAAGAAGTCCGGCAAGACACCAGTGAAAATAAGGAAAATTTACTCACTAAACCGTGAGTAAATCAATTATTTTCTATTCTCAAATACTTCTAAACAACAAAAACAACAACAAACATTATAGGTTTAGGTCGTTGTATTTGACAGAATTATCACATATCAAGATCAATAATTTCCCTAGTCTATTGCAAAAAAAAACAACATCTGCTGGAAAGAGGGCTGTCTCGAATTTCTGCGGAGTCATGATGAAATCAACTGCAAATATCTGAAACTAAGAAAAGACTGTAAAAATAAAACAGAACATAAAAAGGGTGGGTGGGACGGTAATATGTATGCTTTCTTCTGTCATTTTACGAATTGTATTCTGTCAAATACAGACCTCGAGTGACCCTTTTACACATATAATACCTTATATACAGTACACGCACGTGAAAATCGTTCAAAATTATAAAGGAATGTGCAACAGAGTAAATCGAATTAACGTAAAATCATAAATATTTGCTATAGATATAACAGTTACCATAAACTGCGTATTGTTCGACACGAAAATAATTTCATTTACTCACTAAACCGTGAGTAAATCAATTATTTTCTATTCTCAAATACTTCTAAACAACAAAAACAACAACAAACATAGGTATAGGTCGTTGTATTTGACAGAATTATCGAGCAAACAAAGAGAGAAAAAAAACATTTATAGAAAAACAGCTCCATAAAGAAAACACTATTGAAGAAAATCACAAAACATTACAACCATTAAATTTAAAAATTTCAAAAATTTTTAACTACATTAATTTAAAGACCAACAAAAGAAAAACAGAATAAACTATACTCGCCTTAATGAAAATTCTTTGTCTTAACTTTAATCACCTTGACCAGATCCAATCATCTACCAAAATCAATCATCATGGCTTTAACAGCAGTCATCTTGACTATATTCAGTCATCTTGCCCATACACCAGTCATCCTAACCCAAATTCAGCAATCCTGTTCCTATACAACGGTCATCCTGACCAAACAAAAACATTCAGCCATCCTGGCCTATACAACGGTCATCCTGACCAATTTCAGCCATCCTGGCCTATACAACGGTCATCCTGACCAAATTCAGCCATCCTGGCCTATACATCGGTCATCCTGACCAAATTCAGCCATCCTGGCCTATACAACGGTCATCCTGACCAAATCAGCCATCCTGGCCTACACAACGGTCATCCTGACCAAATTCAGCCATCCTGGCCTATACAACAGTCATCCTGACCAAAAGTCTACAAAAGTAATCTTGACAAATATTTTAGTCATTCTGACTACATTCAGATATGCTGGCCTCTGAATGTAACACACTGAATTAACTACCCTGGCCTTATCCTGTGTTTTTTGTTTTTGTTTTTTTTTGGGTTTTTTTTTTAGAAGTTTGTGATTTCAATTTAACAGTTTTCTAAATAAATTAACAAGACTCTTAAACGTAATAAAATATTCATCTGACTATATTTAATAGCAAATATCTCTTAAAAATATTAAAAATATGTAATTGCTTAATTTCTAGTATTGTACATAATATAAACTAAATCCGAAATAATAACATAAATAACTGTTAGCATGTAATCACAAATTCTAAAGTAAAAGTCTAGGTTCGAACCCTAACTACTATCGTCTCCACAATTGCAAGATTGCAGTATAATTGCATATAAAAGATAAAAAAAAGTAGGGCTTTTATCTCAAAATAGAAAGTTATGTATTATTTTTGTATAAAAAAATTAAAATAAATTGATTACTATTTAATAAGATTTGCACTATGAATGTTTTAAATCATCAAATTTCAATACAATCATGTATTATAAATCTAAATTTAAAGATACAGATAATGTGTTTTCGATGAATCATTCACAATACCATCTTTAGCAGTCGCACTTTTCCATCTACCATGTCTTTGCCAAAGTTTATCATGTGTGTTAATAATTACAGAATAATGCAACTTAAACTATCTGCCATCTTATTCAGCGACCTGTTAATCCAAATAGCATTTAAAGATCATTTTCTGCACATGACAAACATTTTAAATGCGAAATTATGCAACACTAAATCTGTGCTACCTTCTTCTATTGTGCTTACGCAGTTCTTACTATCTGTATGTCATTGAACTGTTTTATCTTTAAATTTTGAAATAAAACTATCCAGACAAAATTGAATCGCTAACAGTTCCCTATACGTCGAACTCTGACAACGTTCATAATCTGACCATACTTTGTGTGCCACAGAACCATCATAGGCAATATATGCAGCACCAGCCACCGCTGACGCATCAGAATATATGAACACTTCCGGTACATAATCTTTAAATAAACATTTCTGAAAAGGAGAACTTAATATGTTTCTCCAGAATTCAAGAAATGATTTGGCATCATTTGCACGTTGAAATTTCAAACATTTTTTTTTAAATAATAAATAATAGCTGATTCAACAAAATCCGAATGATCTATAGCTGACTTGTTATTTTTCATTATATAACTCGGAGGTTTAACTAAAAATGGTATAACATAACTATTTTCAATAACAGACAATATATCTCTATCTACTTGAATAATATCAGTCCAATATTGCAGAAAACTTTTTAATCTTCCTTCAACAGATTAGTCAGAAATTGAGCAAGAGATTTCAAATTGATTTGCAATAAAAGAATGATAATTAATGCTAGAGAAAAAGTTACTATTAGCAAAAGTCCAATACTTATCAGAATCACTTTCTATTTGCATGCCTTAGTCCACAGTGAATTGTTGTTGTTGTTGCTGCGGGCTGAACTGAGAAGAGGGTGTGGCGACTGGTCCCAATGCTCCATGATCACGAGATCCGATTCTAGATGTTGCAACTCCGTATTCGGTGGCACAACCTGATGCGAGGTGTCCAATTTCTCCACATTTATAGCATACTACCTCCCCCAACTGCACGAAGCGCCGCCCCATTTGTCCCCTCGAATAGGGGTTGCTATTTCCTCTATAGCTGCGAAAAGAAGACTGCCCAATAGGGCTGAAAATATCAGAAAACACAGCTTTCTTACGTTTTTCAATCTTATTAATAGCTATTTCCTCTGATTTTATAATACGCCTATCATCATCCGAATCAGAGGCAAAGTCACACAACTCATACTCATTAACTGTACCCCACCCATCTGAGGAACTATCAGCAATACGAATAATTTTATTTCTATGCTCTAATTTTTCTCTTGCTTCCTTCAAAACTTGCTTAGCTTTTGAAGCATCTCTTTTACTAACTGCTCTATCACAAATGTCTAACAGCTCTAAAATTTTACAGTTAAAATCAATTTGCTTCTTATTTCCAGCATTGGAGAAAGAAATTGAATTGTTAAGTCTGACCTTCTTTTGTCCACTCTACTTCTGCTTTCAAATCGTGTTTCAATTCTGAAAACTTCTGGTCGAAAATTTCTTGCATTTCTCCAATAAGAGCCCTCTTTAAATCTGAACTGCTTTCTTCTGTCATTTTACGAATTGTATTCTGTCAAATACAGACCTCGAGTGACACTTTTACACATATAATACCTTATATACAGTACACGCACGTGAAAATCGTTCAAAATTATAAAGGAATGTGCAACAGAGCAAATCGAATTAACGTAAAATCATAAATATTTGCTATAGATATAACAGTTACCATAAACTGCGTATTGTTCGAAACGAAAAT